GGACAGGGCTATATCGACTCAGCTCGTCGCCCTGATCAAGAATATATATACTTTGTGGGGTCTGTCACGCCTCTTTCTGCCTGTTACATACTTTTAACAAAACCATTATACCCTGAATTCCCATTTTCAATGGGTTCAGGGTTTAAACAAAAATAAAATTATAGAATTATAAAGGTAACCAAATATATAATATCAATATATTCACAACGCGTTAAATAAATCTAGTAGCCTTTTAGCCATCTGAAATCAACCTTTCTTTCAACCTCGCTTTCAGCCCCACAGGAGGGTTTAGGGGTATGGTAACCTTCGCACATGTTCACTTTACATTTCCAAAAATAGCGGAATGCTCAAGGCAATTTCGTAGAACTAGATCCACCTGCACAAAATTAAAATTCTGTGCTTCTACAGCACACTGCGTATACACTCCTCGTCCCAAGAGGCAACAGGTGTATGAGAATCAACGACCGATCCATGACAGACATGGTTACGATTCCAGCTTATATAGACATCTGTTTTTCAAGTCGATGAAAGTGAGCCTAGTAAAATGTGAGCTTATATAGACATCTGTTTCCCAAGTCGATGAAAGTGAGCCTAGTTATATGTGACGAAATTATAATCAAGTTAATTTTGTAAGTGGAGCGAATTGGAATGACTGAACGAATTAGCTACGACTAATGAGTTGTTTTGATAATGAGTAAGAACAAAAAATCCTATCTGGTACCATTAAATGCTAAGTCGATCAGATTGCTTTCAGGTGTGTCTATTTGAGTTTAATATTGGTCCAAATTTGTATTGTGTATTTTGTATACCATTTCGATAAATCATCCGATAACCTTTTTATCGAGAGTAATCGAAAAATTTATTTTGTTTTTTTCAGCCTAATTTGAATAATTTTAGACCTGTATATACATATGATGAATACGAAGCACACACATTTCAACCATATGATTATCCTCTGAAAGTTTCATAAAGATAGTCTATCTGCAAGAAAAATTATTCAACTAATAAATTCTTTCTACTGCACAGTTAGCAGAGCGCGTGTTTATACGTACGTGTGGATCCACGTGTTTGTGTATGTATGCATAAAATAAGTGCAGAATGAGTAGAATATAAGCTTAGAGGGTTCAGGATATCTCCTAGTCGAGCAGTTGCGTCTAGAGCCTTCTTACTTGTTTTTTATACTCATTCACGAAAGTGAATAAGTATATTGATTTCGGCGGTAATGAAGCTAGAGACTTGAAATTTGGAACACATACTCGTGTATATCTCCGATTTATAAAGTGCTAAAATTTTCCCGATCCGCCCACAGCGGGCGTGGCAAACCGCAAAAGTTTATATCTCCTAAAGTATAATAGCGAGAAGCTTAAAATTTAAATGGTTAAGTTACCAGTAGCCTCCTCTATCGATGACGTAAAAATAATTTCTACACCTCGTTAGGTGCGTGGCATATCGAAAAATACCCTGTAATTTTCACATTTTTTGAGGGTAAGCATTCAAACTTTGCAGTTAGGGTACCGTTATCTCGTTCTAAAAACTGACCAAAACGCCCAGTTGGCAAATCGGAAAAAACTGTACTTTCTACAGTATTAGGGCAAAACTTAACTACTAAATTGTTGATGGGATGTGAATGAGTATTCCGCAGTCGGTAACGCCCGACTGCAACGTTCTTACTTGTTTTTTTTTAAGTCCGTATATATAGCGACGATATCGAGTTTACCTCCAAAAACCGATAAATCTTCCCATCATTTTTTTTATCGATTGAAAGCATTATCGAAATTAAGCGATTTAATTATATAGCCAACATCTTAAGAGCTAGAGTCGCCAAATTTTATATGTAAATTCATATGTACTTTGTAGAATTTCGATTTTTTTATAATTCACTCCCACCCCTTTCGCAAATGCACGCATTTTAATGATACAATCACAATCTAAAAGTTTCATGAAAAAAATACATCCACAACAAACGTTATTAAACAATTAAATTCCCATAGTAAGCCCACGCAGCACTCAATGTGTGTTTATGCGTGCGTGCCTATATGTGTCTACGAGTGTGTATATTTTTTGTGTAAGCAGAAAGACGCAAAGAATTATT